GATGTGGGAGGGGCTTCACCAGAAAATGGGAACTCTCTCACGGTACCTTGGCGTAACATGAATATGATGGGTGAGCACTCACTGAACAGAAAGGTTTACCTGAAAACGGCTCTGAACCTTGTCTGATAGAGGCCATAGGGAAACTCATATGATGAGTGGATATGATCTGTCACAGAAAGGTGGTGGGGTTATGCAACTGAAACAGTTGGCCCCATGCACCCTATGTGATTTTTCATATTTTCAAACACATATTACCGTCTCCGTCACTGAGATAGGAAGGAAATCCTAGAGATGAACAAATGGAAATGGAAGATAGATTAAAAGCCATGGGTCCTTGACCCCGACCCCAAATTTATTAAAACCACTATTTATATAGGTGGAGGTAGGGTCAAAAACGTAATTAAGTGTGCAAAGTCCCACTAAAATGTTAAGAATCACTCTCTGATACACCAACTCCTAAAATTAAAAAAAAAATGTTTATTTATTTATTTTTTAATTTGTAATAGATCAAACCTTTTTTCCCATTTTTAGCTTTTTTTGACACCCACATCGGCTCAGTTTAGAAATAATACAAATACAAATTTGTAAAATGAAAAACCTTGTATTTGATAGTATTTTTGATGTATTTATATTGTACAAATTTGTATTTAACCTTCTTCCAAATTGAGCCGCATGGTCGGGAATGAGGGAGAATCGATAAAATACTCTCACTAAAAAGTAGAAATTACATAGCAGTAATTTGCTCATGAGCAAAATCACCGGTCGTGGTTGGAAACAACAAGCACAAAGTACCTCTGACATTTCAAAACTGATAACCAAAATTAATTTTGTAGGCCTTTGTTAGTTGATAGATTAATTTTGTAGGCCTTATCATATATAAAATCAAGATTAGAGTGAGTGAATGATTTATGACTCAAATTCTATTTTTCTTGGTTGATCAGGAGATGGAAAACGATGAATGAAAGAGAGGAAGGAGAAAAAAAATGAGATTATGAAAAAGTTTTAAGGGCAGATGAAATGGGCTCAATGTTTTCTTAAGGGAGCCATTGCTTGTCAACCGTTAATTTTAAAGCAATTTGGGATAATAAATGTGCCACGCTGTTCGTATGTGATTGACATGAATCTCTTCAAACCGTTGGAGGTCCTGTAYTCAGGAATAATTCGACAAGGAGGTAAAAGAGAAACTTGAGACAGGCAAGTATAATTTGTAACGAGTCACGAGTCTTCATCAGGTTCCGTTTGCTTTTTCGTAAATTATTTATTCAGGTAAATGCATTTATCTAGGTAAGTATTTCTTAGGAAAGACTTATACGGATAAACATATTTATCCATGTTCTTTTATTTCTAAAGTAAATAAGATAATGACCATTTTAGTCATAAAAATCCATTATTACAAGGGGCATCTTTGTTCCATTCAAGTGCTCGCAACTTTTCCCTAAGGTGGGAATGTTATTTACCCACCTAGGAGATGGATATCACTTAATACTCAAGAAAATGCACTTTCCTTGGTCCCCAGATAAATCTGAAAAAAAAAAAAAAAAACAAACAAACATGGGATTCTTGGTCAATGAAGATCAAAATCCCATTGACCAACTTTTCCCCCTCTCAAAATCAAGAAAAAGAAYGTCCCCTCAATGATAACTCTTCGAAGCTGGCATAGTAATGGCACTTGAAGGCCAAATATGAAAGCTATGGCTTCTGCTTCCCATGGAGAGTTAGCCCCTATAGACTTATTTGTGTTAAGCGTKGCCATCTTATAAAGTATATTTACAAGTAAATATTAAAACTATAGGATATACATAAATAATTTCTCCAAACCTTAGACAATATCATTTGCACGGCCATGGTTTTGCATTAATACAAATTTATTTGCATTGCAACCAAACACAGCCTAAGTGAATCCATCAAAATTGYCAACCATACACCTTGAGTTGTTGGCTAGAGAGAGTTAGTTGAATCTTGATAAATTTCTTGAACTCCAAATAGAACGAGATTTCTAAAGAGTGAAAGAGTTCAATATTTCTGACATGACCAAACCCTAAATAGAAAGAAAATTATAGAGATGAGAGAGAGAGAGTGTGTGTTGAGTTGTTGGGTTACACATACTATAGAATGGACCACAAATTGGGAGCGGCTTATTGAAGCAGTGGGGGGCTAATAACTTAATAGGGAAATTGGCCTTTTGGTGATATTAGTCACCTTCGTCTCACTCTCTCTCTCTCTCACCTGGCCTTATGCTAATTCATTGGTCATGAGAAGGCCCAAGCGCCGCTTCTCAGCGTCGTATAGAAGACACAAGACACCCTTTCTCAGGTCCTCGTCGTTGATCTCATTCCCTACGTTCATCCTGACCGTAAATCAATGCCAATTTTATGGGTAGGATGCGATTTATATWAAGCTATTAATAGATTAGATTAGGATTCTCCTTAATCTTCTCTTCATTTTTCAAATTTGTTTGCGTAAAATTAAGAAAAAGAAAGAARAAAATTATTAGTCAGCCATAGCAAGAATGTGTAATGCACGTTCCACACTTCCACGTGCAAAGCACCCTGACTACAACATACATGACATGAGAATGTGGACTTTTCCTACATGATTATTGCAATTAATTAGATGACATGTTTTTTGCCACGTGTTGCYTGCAGTACTGTTTGGCCCAGCATTAAAACGGGCATGCCTAATATGCCATTTATCACTTTCCGGAATCTAATGAKCTGGCACTTTTCCAGAATCTCATGAGCTGGCTCTATCCCACAATTAGGTCARTTGCTACGTGGCAATCGACAACTCCAGGTTCCTCCATACCATCCAAGAAAGCTTGCCAAAGCAATTGTGCGGTTTGGTTCAATACAAATGCCGGGCTCGGCAGGAAATTTCCTCCGACGTTGGCTGTAGCCAAACAACCGCCGGCAAACAGACACTATCGGTGTGGAGCTACCGGCCACCGTTCCACTCTTGGCGGCGCACCTGTTTTGGTTGTGGGCCGTTGTGCCTCGACACCACCTCTCCTCAAGGTCTCGAGGTCCTTTTCTTATTTTCTGTCTCTCCGAGGTCGCTCCTCTTCTCACGTAATGACGTAATCGTCCGATCGCCGGGTCCCACCCTTCTCTTGACTCGTTTGGATATGTCGCCCCTATATAAAGACCTCAAACAACACAGACAGAAGATGTGAGAGAAGAAAAGCTGATTTTACTTTTCTGTCTTTTCAGTTTTCACTCTTTACAATCTCCAATGGAAGGCTCTGTCGAGAACTGGCAGTTCATTTGCCGAGAACCCTGCCTGAGCGGCCCCGTTCACGGCTTCAAAACCGCCTTCAACAACCTCTCCGACTCCCCCGTTCGCAGTTGCAACTTCTCTTCCGCCCCAGAGCTCTCCCGTCCCAATCAGTTAGCCGTCATGGAGGAGTCGTCCAGTGAAGACGAGGGAGATTTCGATTGGAAGGATCATCTTCAAACGGCCAACAGAGAACTGGAGCCGTCCATCTTGGACCCACGAGACGAAGGAACGCCTGACAGCTGGATCGAGCGCAACCCCTCCATGATCCGTCTCACAGGCAAACACCCATTCAACTCGGAGCCGCAATTGACACAGCTCATGCACCACGGCTTCATTACTCCGGTTCAGCTCCACTACGTCCGGAACCACGGTCCGGTCCCCCAGGCCAAGTGGGCGGACTGGACGGTCGAGGTGTGTGGGTTCATGAACCGACCGGCCGTCTTCACCATGGACCAACTCGTCACCGAGTTCCCGAGTCGCGAGTTCCCCGTCACCCTCGTCTGCGCGGGTAACCGTCGCAAGGAGCAAAACTTGGTGAAACAAACCATCGGATTCAACTGGGGCGCTGCAGGCGTATCCACTTCGGTGTGGCGCGGAGTACGGCTTTGCGATGTACTCAAACGATGTGGCATCTATAGCCGTCGAAAGGGAGCCCTCAACGTTTGTTTCGAAGGAGCTGAAGATCTCCCCGGCAGTGGTGGTTCCAAGTACGGGACAAGCATAAAGAAGGAGATCGCAATGGATCCATCGCGGGACATCATTATAGCGTACATGCAGAACGGAGAGCTTCTATCTCCGGATCACGGCTTCCCCATTCGAATGATCATCCCTGGGTTCATCGGCGGACGAATGGTGAAATGGCTGAAGCGCATCATCGTCACTACTGAGGAGTCACAGAATTACTACCACTACAAGGACAACAGGGTCCTTCCTTCTCACGTCGACGCCGAACTAGCCAACGCCGAAGGTACACTACACCTACAACTGGAATCTTGTTCCTCTTCTCTTGATTTGTTCAAGACTAGTAGAAATTTCTGAATTTTTGGTAATGTTACTGTGTTGCATGGTGTATACTTTACTATAGCTTGGTGGTACAAGCCGGAGTACATTATTAACGAGCTGAACATAAACTCGGTGATCACGACGCCGTGCCACGAGGAGTTCTTGCCGATTAATTCTACGGCGAATCAGAGACCGTATACATTGAGGGGCTATGCATATTCTGGTAAGTTGCTTTGTAGTATAATATCCTGTATGTTGAAATGTTTCTTCTGGTACAGTGGTACGTTGAAGCGTCGGTTGTTTCTCTTCTTTGGGTGTTTGAAAACGGAAACCCTGGATATGGTCACTGTGTTTCCAAATATGAATCCGAAATTCGATCCGATTTAGAATCAGATTGAATGATTGATTATGGGATCTATGGATCCACCCTAATATTAGTCATTCAACGAATCAGAAAATATTACAGTATATATGATCAAAATTATTTATTTTAATTTCTTTATCTTCTTTTTTCCTCTTTCTTTTTTTTCTTGTCTCTTTCTTTTTCTTATCTTCCCATTGTGTCAATTATTTATTTAAAAAAACAAAAAACTGGTCAAACTTTTTATGAAAATCTTAACATTCAGTGATTCAATGTTTGATTTTTTGGTGCAACTTTTATTTAATTTGCTAATTTTTTTATATAATGTAAATATGAAAATTAAGAAGTGTAAGGATGATGAAAATCAAGAAACCTTCCACGTGGCAAATTGCCATAAAATGTCAACAAATGGTAGGGAACATGGCTGATGTGGACTATAGGATTGAACAGGTGGCCTGCCGATTCAAAGGGTCCTATTTGGTGAATGTCTCAGTTCTACGTGGCAGAATATAGAACATTAGAGTGTTGGAAACAATTTTACATGTATAAAATTGTGAAATAATTTCACAATTTTAAGTCATTTTGTTCATGATATACAATATCTAAATTATTTATAATATATAGGAAAAATTATGGTCTATTTTATATGGACAAATCTCACATAAATTATTTTAGTTTAATTTCTTAGTACAATATAATATCCGGAGTTTAAAATATCTGTAGTATACCAGGAGATTCACGCATGAAACGGGCAGTGTGGAACGAATTCAACACTGCTACTGCTAGTGTGTATGCTAATTAAATATTACATTCACCAATTTTATTTCTTTTAAATTTTACATTTGATTTCTCATCTAAGTATTTATTACTAAGTTCCTACTTGCTGGTTAACTCTGTATCTCTGTCTAATCTATTAATCTATTAACTCTCTCTCTCTCTCTCTCTAATCCATTCATTATTCTAAAATCACTTGTGTTTTAATTTTTTTTTTTTTATTTTAAGTTTGACCCAATTTTATGAAATTTAAAATTATTATTTATATGTATAAATAAAATTATGTGTATATTTTAAAATTTTCATTTCCATTAATTTCTCAACATTTCCATGTGTATCTAGTTCGTACTTCATATAAATTATTAAAAGATATGTTTCCTACATGTCTGTGTGGATAGCCATATATTAATAAAGCTGTAAAAGTCATATATGATAAAGCGAAAAATCTCATACAAATGCCTCTACCTTTTATTGATATCATATATAGTACACAATTCTGGGAACACATGGTGGGGATAGAATAGGATTCAAGTGATTAGGTCCACCAACTTTAACATAGAAAGCCTGCAATTAGGGGTGCAAATGGATCCATCCGAGATCCGATCCTATTTGCTCGAATTCGGATCATCAGGGATCAGAACTTTAGATCCTAATAGATCTGATCAGAAATTGGACCGGATTCAGATCACTTCTATCTGATCCGATATATATTATATATTTATAAATATAAATATATATAATACATATGTGTTATTTATTTTTATAAAAAATATGTATATATATGATAAATACTTGTATTTTTTTATTTTTATTTTATTTAAATTAGTATATTTCAATTTTATTTTAATAATTTATTAATTTTTAAAGAAAACAAGTCAGATCAGATCATATCCGAATATCTGACTTATCGATAAGATTCGAATTCAAATCGAGTCCTATCAGATCAGACCGAATCCGACATGAATAATATAGGATCGAATTCAAATATACCATGATTCGAATCTGATCCGTTTGCATCCCTACCTGCAATTATACAAGTTTGATCCCCCACCTCCTATTTGGAGGGAAGCCAATTAACCATCTCAACTCCTTGGCCATCATTATACATAAACCTCTTTCAAGAACAAAGTTTCTATGCACGTTGCGAAAAGAAATAATTATTTTTTCCTTTAGCTCAGTTTGGATGATTGGGATCTGCTACTCACAGAGCACATCTCACACTCACCTCACATGCACATCCCGCCGTGCATTGGGAACATCTTCCATGAATAATAAAATATAAATATGGAAGATGTTTTCGGTACATGGTGGGATGTGCCTATGAGGTCGGTGTGAGGTGCACTGTGTAAAAAATAAATTTGGACAATTCGGTCTCGTTTGTGGAAGCAGTAAAAATACAAATACGTACGAGTACAAAAACTTGTATTTTGTATGTATTTGTATTTGCACTCTTTCCAAACTGAACCAATGCAAAATGCTCATTTTGAAAAGAGTATAAATACTTCACAATAATAGGGGTGTCCACAGTTCGGTTAACCGAACCATGGCCTTTTTATGTAAATCAAACCTGTGGTACCGGTTTTTCTATTTCTCTAAACTGAAACCAAATCGGTACCACCGGTTAATCGGTTTGCCGGTTTCAGTTTTTGACCGGTTCAATTCTTCAGTTTTTTCATTTTTTTTATATTTATAATATATATTGTACAAATATATGTACAATATTATATTATAAATAATAAATGATATATAATATATTATAAATATTTTAAAAATATATAATATATAACATATTTATAAAGAGATCATTATAAATATATATTTATATATAATATATAAAAAATATGTGACATATATTAATCGGTTGATTCAATTAACCGCTAATTTTTTTTGTAGGTTAATTGAAAATCGAACCGATCGATTTGATTAACCGGATTTTGCGATTTGATTTTCTCGATTCGGTTCGATTTTTCGGTTATTCGGATTTTGATGGACACCCCTACGTAATAATTCACTACTTTCAGGCAGTAAATGAACAATGCACGAATCACCAATCTTAAACCTGACACACTTCTTTCAGAAACAGAGTCTGATTTTCTAAAAGCTGCAAGCCTGCAACATAAAACCCGAATTACCAATCGAGAGCCTCCTTGCTCCTTACTTTCTATCCATGGTACAAAACACATGCATGAATCATGGACCTTTCGAATGTCCCTTTGTCATCCACTGAGCAGTCTGGATCCTACGGTTATTTGTCCATTTCTTTGACTTTTCAACAAGCCCCAACTTAATATAGGAAAATGAGCTTCGATGTAAACGTGATTTTGCTATGTGGCCATCAATTTGGCCACGTCATACCAATGCTGACTCATCCTGCAGGTGATCCATCATCACTTAATTTAATACGGTAGATGAAGACATATCATATCAAATAGTTATTTTTATTATAGAAATAAGTTTTTAAGAAAATCTATGATGCAGAAAAGAAAAGGCATGATATTTAAAGAGTTTTGATCAATTAAAATTCACCCATAAATTTTGTTATTGACTACCATATTTGTAATTCCACCCATGAATTTTAGATATCATACATGAAGCAAAAATTAAAGAATTTTAATGAAAAATAGATGGACTAGAGATGATATTAGTATTTCATATTTTGTTGAGATCGTCTTTTGTTCTTAAATATTATGAATTTTATTTATTTAAATTAAGTATTCTTGTTTTAATTATATGATGTGGGATGAATGAATCTCGGTTCCTTTTTATGCAGTGTCAATATCCATTTAAATTATGGATATTTAAATCATTCTTATTACCTTAAGTCTTTTTCCTCTTTCCTTAGCTCTTTTAATCTATTCTGTATGTAAAAGTTCTGCACAATCTAAAAGGAGGAAGGGCATCGTCTAATTAGACATTGAAAACATCTTCCTATGAATTTAATATATATGTACGTAATTGGTGTACAGCTGGATGCCGTGCGTCAGTACAAATACAAAATAATATTATAAAATATAAGGTTTTGTACTTTCCAAACTAAGCTTCACTAGCATCTCCCCATAAATCCTATCACACATTGGCATCCTTGGACGACCTCACCTACATGCAAGTTTTCCATGGTAGGTAAGGGTGTCAATGGACCAGTAAAATCAATTTAGACGGATTGAACAGATTAATACGATATATTGGATTGGATTAATTCGGTCCAAATTATTTATTAGATTAGATTGGACTTAGTCCATTCGTAATAAATTTATATTGGATTGGGTTGGATTGGATTAAGTTAATATCTGATCCATTGATATAAGATAAGAATATAGGTGCCAATGGACCGAATTTGGATTAAAACCAGTCTAAATTAAAATGAATTTGAATAGATTGGACGGTTCAGACGTTGTATTGAACCAGTCCAAAATGGTCCAAAATATTCATTGGATTGGATTGAATTGGACCTGGTCCATTTATAATGAATTCATATTGAATTGGACCAAATCCAGTCCAATTGACACCCCTAATGGTAGGGTATAGTCAATGGGTGCACTGGCCCACCCTGATTCACATATAATAATGAAAAAATATCATTTTATTTAAATAATTGATTTTAATTAATTGCTAATTTTATTTGCATTTTATAGGGGGAGGGAAGAAGGTGACACGTGTAGAGGTGACTCTGGACGGTGGAGAGAGCTGGCTAGTGTGCGCTTTGGACCACCCAGAGAAACCCAACAAGTATGGGAAATACTGGTGCTGGTGCTTCTGGTCACTTGACGTGGAAATGCTGGACCTGCTTGGGGCCAACGAGATCGCTGTACGAGCCTGGGATGAGTCACTCAACACGCAACCAGAGGAGCTTATCTGGAACGTCATGGTATGTATCTCCTTCTCAACTGCGCATTCTAGTTATATCCCTACTTAGAATTCTTAATATCCTTCTCAACCGTTCAAATCAATTGTGGGACCCATTGATTGGGCGAGAGACAGAGTGTGGTAATTGAGCTTTCAATTGCTAACGTGGACCGGGTGTGTCTTGTCACTTGTGTAGGGAATGATGAACAACTGCTGGTTCCGGGTGAAGATGAACGTGTGCAAGCGGCACAAGGGCGAGATCGGGATTGTGTTCGAGCACCCGACTCAGCCGGCGAACCAGCCGGGTGGGTGGATGGATCGGCAGAAGCACCTCGACTCGGCCGAGTCGAACCCGATCATGAAGAAGAGCGTCTCCTCGCCCTTCATGAACATTTCCTCGAAGACCTTCTCCATGTCCGAGGTGAAGAAGCACAACTCGGCCGAGTCTGCATGGATTGTCGTCCACGGCAAGGTCTACGACTGCACCCCGTTCCTGAAGGACCACCCGGGTGGTGCCGACAGTATCCTCATCAATGCCGGCGGCGATTGCACCGAGGAGTTCGACGCAATCCACTCCGATAAAGCCAGGAAATTGCTCGAAGATTATCGAATTGGTGAACTTATCACCTTCGGTTACACCTCCGACTCGTCCTCCTCACCAAACAACTCAGTCCATGGCGCCTCCAACTTGACTCTCCTAGCTCCCATCAAAGAAGTCAGTACTGTTACAATTAATGTTGCTCTGATACCGCGTGAAAAAATTCCATGCAAGCTCATATGCAAGACTTCAATCTCTCACGACGTCCGTCTCTTCCGCTTCGCGTTGCCGTCGAAGGATCAAGTCCTGGGATTACCAGTAGGGAAGCACATTTTCCTCTGCGCTACCATAGATAATAAGCTCTGCATTCGTGCTTACACCCCAACAAGCTCAGTCGACGATGTGGGCTACTTCGATCTTGTCGTCAAGGTCTACTTCAAGGGAATGAACCCTAAATTCCCCAATGGAGGGCTCATGTCACAGTTCTTGGATTCTCTCTCCCTAGGCTCTACCGTGAACGTTAAGGGTCCATTGGGACACATCGAGTACACCGGCCACGGCAGCTTCACCGTACACGGCAAGCCCAAATTTGCGAAGCGGCTCGCAATGCTGGCCGGAGGGACAGGAATCACACCCATCTATCAGGTGATCCAAGCAATCTTGAGAGACCCAGAAGATGATACAGAGATGTACGTCGTGTATGCCAATCGCACCGAAGATGATATATTGTTAAGAGAGGAGCTTGATGGGTGGGCGGAGAAGCATGAGAGGTTGAAGGTGTGGTATGTGGTGGGGAAGGCGTTGAGGGAAGGGTGGAAGTACAGTGAAGGGCTGATTACAGAGAGTGTTCTGAGGGAGCATATCCCTGGGGGATCGAGCGACACCTTGGCGTTGGCGTGCGGACCACCGCCGATGATTCAGTTTGCGGTGGTTCCGAACTTGGAGAAGATGAAGTACGACGTCAAGGAGTCGCTGCTAGTGTTTTGAAGTGCTTGGGTGAGAGAACCTAAGTTCACAAGCGTTGTATCTATTCGTTGCACTTGCAATGGTCGTTCGTTCATGTGTTATGTATAGTCGTATTTTCTTTAATTCTTTATGATTTTGTAAAATATAAAAAACAAACATAAAATCCTCCCCTACGTTTTCATTTTAACAAAATTCTTCCATGTAAGTTTTGAAAAATCATGCACTTACCTCTCTTCCCCATCGTCCCATGATGTGTTTATTTTTTTAAATACCTAATTTGCCCTTATATCTATTAATTAAGATATTAAAGCAGATCATCTTTTTTCTCCCAGAACTAAGAAGCAGAGGCAGCAAAGACAATCTAATCGTTCATCCCTCCATCTTTTCAATTCCCTCCCTCTCTCTCTCTCTCTCTCTCTCTCTAAACTCTACCCTACTCTTTGCCATTTCCATCACAGACCCATGTCCTTTCTTCTAAACGGCCATGGATATGGTGTAATGGTAATTTACTTGTTCCTTGTGACTAGTATGATATAATGAGAAAATACTTCTTCCCATGTTGGGTATGCTATAAATTTTCGTCATTCCATGCATGGAAATATATACAAATATTCGGTGCTATTTTTCTCTCTGAAACATTCCCCTCAAATCTTCAACAAAACCCCATTTTTTAAACTTATTCTCATCTTACAATGTTTGTGTCTTGGCTTAATTCCAAATTTCTTTGTTAGAAATTAGAACAGAGCACGTCATGAATTTCCGCAAAAAAAAAAAAAAAAATACTGAAGTTTGCATGAAGTCCTCTAGTTGTAACCTACTATTTATTTGTTGCAGAAATGGAAGTTATTGCACATCTTTTTCTCTGTTTGTTACTAGGTAACGACAATATGAGAGGTTTGAAGGAGATCACCTGCCTGCTTGCTATAATCTCCTAAAGCAATAAGTGTTCAAGGACGAGACCTCCAAAACTTAAAACTTGGAGGGCTTCCATGCTCTCCCTTTGGGGTAGAGTCTCAAGTTCTTCACTGCTTTTACATGAAGTTTCAGGTCTAAAATTTTGGAAATGGCAATCATAGTGAGGAAAGCATCTTCTTCTCTGTTGTTGAGATTGTGGCAATCCCAGTTCGGTTCCACTACCGGTGGGTTGTATGATGAGATTGGGGGACTTCGGGCCACTGCCAGAATTTTTTGATGTCAGACTGTTCAGTCAAGGTAGATTTGTAAAGTGGTGTACTAGAAATTAGGTGCATTCAGTTAAAGTAGACAAGGATTGCAGGGTTTGTCATTTGAGATTGAAGAATATTAACGAGGAATCTGAAATTCCTATTGAATTGGGCTGTTCTTGCAAGAATGATTTGGCTACTGCTCATAAGAAATGCATCGATGATTGGTTCGAGATAAGGGAAATAAGTAAAAACTTAGGGGATGGAGTTGAAAAGATGAAGGGATGAATGGTTTAGGTTGTCTTAGGGCCTGTTTGGTAYGTCTTTTTGGGATGATCTTCTGGTAGCTCTGACATGTAAAAGATGCATTGAGCTTTTCATGAAGATTTGAGTAGCTCGAAATACGTTTGGCAAATGCGCGTCTTTTTGCGTGTCTTTTTGCATCTTTCAGCGTGAGATTAAAACACAAAGGAAGCGAGAAGCTTCATTTGGAGCTTTCCGAAATCAACCCAAAATGGGTTTTACCGTCTTTTCGACGTTCCGTCTTTTAGCGATTAGATCTTCTGTGCACCAAATGGAAATATACCAAAAATCGATCTTCACGGCTTGTAAACAGTCGAAAGACTGCATGGAAAGACATGCCAAACAGGCCCTTAATTTTTAGAGAAAAAGATGAATAGTATTTTGAGGCATTTTAATTTAATGAATATATAACTGAATTAATAGATATAAAGGAAGAATAGGTATTTTAAAACAACAAGCGCATTAGGTCATGACTTTCCAAACAGGACAACGGCAGAAGGGAGGTAAATAAATGATTTTTCAGAACTAAAGAGGAGGATTTTGTGATAGTCAGAAAACTTGGGGAGGTTTTTACATTTTACCCTTATACTTTTATTATTGGAATCTCTCTCCGGTCAATCAATTCATTCGATCGATCGACAAATCTTGTCTCATCATTCGACACTTCCACTTTTATTTTTTTTCTTTTACTTTTTGTTCAATTTTTTTAATACATGGCAATTTCAAAACTCTTGTTTGTTTGTCAGCTTTCCAACTGACCAGAACTGTTGTTATTCCCAGATGATTCGTTGAAATTGAGGATTCTAAGGTTGAAAGGGGAGGATGACAAGACGTGGGAGGAAGTGATTGATGAAAAAGGATTTGAGGCTAGTCATCATTGGAGATAAGAGATATATAGCCAGAGTTCACTTTTGCTACAACATTGTCTCATGGGAGGGGTAAAACATAAAATCATGGTTTCTACCACCAAGTCACCTCATTTAATTCAAGGTGGGGATTTGACAACAAATCAAAGGTGATAAAGGATGATTTGGCACGCCCTATTAAGAAGGGGTCACTTAGACGCGATATGTTGGAGCGGTGACAATTAATTCAAACGAATCTAGTTTACAATATTTGAAGCTCGGGTATTTAGTTACCTCGGCTCAAAAACCACTTCGGCGTAGAAACATCTTGACACCCAATCCAATTCGAGACTAAAGAATCAAAGCACCAGTTTGGAGTTAAAAAACCGAAACACCACATAATTGACTCCAAAGGCCTCTCCAACGGACCTCGAATTTCTCGAGATTACAACGAGACTCATCATAGCTCTGCTTGAATTGGCGGAAAACGATAAACCTTATCAACTAACGCATTGCTCTCCTTCAAAAACAGAACAGATCTTATCTGCACAGCCCGGAGCTCTTTCGCAAGACCCACGACTACTCCACTATATAAGGACATCAAACCTCAAGGCAAAGGTACGTGTGATTATTTATTCAGTAGCATTCAAGCATTCAAGTATTTAGCTCGTATCCACAGTATAGAACTGACTTAAGCATCGGAGGGACCTTGTCGGGTTAGCCACCCCGAGTTCTCTGATCTATTATTTTGTAGCTTGATCCAGCTCGCCATGCAATTGGAGTTCGGATCATCTTCCAGCTAGGAGTATCTACATCATACATCATCAAAAGGCTTTCATTTAGTTTGTGGACTAGGACATAGTATTAGCCATATGAGTGTGATGTCAAAACTACAGCTCCAAGATTTCACTACAAATTTTTATGAGTTTGGGCATTGGAGAGACGATATATAGCCATAGTTGGGTCCAAGCCCGGCCCCGAAAAAAGTGGGACCTGATGTTTTGGGTTTGAGCCCAAGCCTATAATCCCGACTTAAAATGTGTTAGGCTTGCCCGTTATGCTAATCAGTCCATCAATAAGTCTAATTCCAAACCATACCCTATAATTATAACTAATAAACCCTAAACTATTCTTATTATTGATTGATTTGGGGAAATTTATGGTTTGCTCCCCCTCAGAAATTGTTGTTGGTATTCTCAATGTATTATCCAAACCCTCACCTATATGCCACAACATCCCCCTTGAATTGTGATATTGGTTTGTTACTGTTGCATGAGTCTTTGAAGGTGTAATGATCAAACATTATTAAACTGTGTTTATTATGTTGCTTAATGAACAGTAATCTTAAGGTTAATGATCAAGCATTATTGCTTTGAAGGTGTAATATTGATCAAACATTGTTGATGTTACTGTATCTGGCATGCAGCAAAGCCTGAGAGACAGTGAACAATCAATTTGTGGGAGTAATGGTATAACTTATACTCAAAAGCAGATTTGTAATAGTTGTGGCACAAAAGAAGAGATACAGAAGAGGTTTCTTCAATTCCTAAAAGATTATGTAGTGATCAGAGATAGGCTATATGGCAAGATATCAATAGCATCAATAATACAAATATTGCAATCGGATAGCAATATAGTGAGTGCTAAGCATACAACTTGGAGAGTTTGATTTTTTTTTTTTTTTTTTGTTTAAAAGTAGATGAATCCTTATAGCATTCTAGAGCTTGGATGAGAGAAATTAAGCATTAGAATATAAGGAATGCCTATTTGCAAAAATCTTCTTTTGAGAATTGTAGATGTTAAATTAATAAAAGTTGAAGTGAAGAGACAACCCACTTTCAGTATCTTTCTTCAACTGATTAAGGTGTACTTTCCTCAACCCTATATTTGACACCAGTACATTATTCATTATAAATAAGCTGGATTTCAAATCTCTTAAAAATGTTAATTTGATATAAATTACTGAATGTATACCCTATATTTGACACTGCCTGCAGTTGATGAATTTACAGTTATTAGCGAATTGTTTGTCAACCTTGTAATTTTGTTGATCCAGAAAAATAAGTTGGCGACCAGTTACTTGGAATGCATTTCATTCTGATCGACATGGTTTATGGGTCACCACATTATTTATCAAACTAAGAAATATCCTAATTCAGCACTATAAAACCTACTAATGAAAGATCCAGACACCTACTAATCATCCAATAACTTAGAAGCAAAATTCACAAATGATAATATCATATCATCGATCAATAGTATACCATTTTGTACCAAAAAAAAGTCGTGTGGGTCATCACCCAGGCATCCACATTAGACAGTGGCCACTGTCGATTAAGGTTTAAAGTATAGAAAACGTTAAGTGTATCAAAAAGACAATTTTAAAAAAATATCGAGATACATCTTGGATATATATGTGTATCGGAGAAAAGCTAAGATATGCATATGAAAGCACTAAAAGTACTTTAATAAATCATAAAAATATGTTAACAATACTAAATATAAGGCCTCAATGAGGTGTATATACAATAAATTAATATATTTTACTGGTTTTATGGAGAAATATAAAGGGGGTGTTAAGCAAAAGCTAAACAATAGACGCACATAAGAGTAGACAATTGTTTTATAATTTAATTTTTAAATAATTAATAAATGTTTATATTTTATATACAACTTTCAATAATTTTTTAATACAAAAATAATAATAATTAATTTTAAACCGATGAATAACCC